ATTTTCTCTCTTAAATTCAATTTGAAATAAAAATAAATTTAAATAGCATCAAAATATTAGCAAAACTGAAAATGTAGGTTAAAAAAAAATTAGCCTTAGTTTTCATTTTTCAAAGATACAACCATATTCGAACCTAATTATCTCTAGCTTATATACAGAGAAAATTACCAAAAACCTTACATTTAAAGTTCTAATTTCAAAAAACAGGTTTCCATTATTATTATTATTATTTAATCAAAAATCAGGTATATTCAAATATACTTCACTCCAACCATACCACTTTCTTCACTCAGACAAGAATCATTCGTTTCATTCATCACCACCGTTGCCACCGTGTCTATGTACACCATGGCTTGAACACGCTGCTTGTTCGTGGTGATAGTGATAATGGAAGGTGGGAACCTGATCTTCATCGGAGATCTAGTGGTGGTGGCGCTCACTAGGTGAATAGAAAATACCTCTACAACAGTCATCTTTGAATAGAAATCATTACCAAATAATGATTTTCACTTATAATTAATTAAAATTGGACAGAACTAATTTTTGATACAAAATAAATAATGAAAATTCATATACTTTCAATAAAAAGTATAATGAAAGTTCATGTACTCTCAATTGTATTTATTTTTGTTGAGAAACCAAAAATCCAAAGCAACGTATTAGCTTATTCCAAACCTTTATACATCCATTTATAAATTCATTCTATTTATAGTCAACATATAATATGACTAAGAAAGACGATCTATCGTGGAAGTACATTCACTTCCTTACTTAGAGATATTGAAATCTCATTTAGTATCTTCATTGATCCCATTTTAATTGAGCATCTAGATATGACCTTATTCATCATATGCAATAATGGGGCGAAATGCTACCCCCACAAATTTAGGGTACATTAATAATATAGTTTAATAACTTATCTTCTTTCGTTCGATAATTCGTATAGATTTTAGGTAAACACGAACATGATAGACCAATATGTTAAAACAAACAATATCTCTATAATTTTTGGCAACAATATAAGCAATCACTAATGCTTTATTGCCTATCAATAAAAATTAGGCCTCTTGATCGATCAACGAAAACCAGATGGTAAAGCCATTGATTTGACATAAACCTCGAACTATTCCAATTAGTTCGATAAACCGTTTCAAGTATTGAATTTGACCATCATTCACCTCATCATCAATTTGCATATGTACGAAAATAATAATTCAGTATTAATTCGAACTATCTTTGAAAATAATTGGCATTCCTTCGACAATCCACATCTGATTAAGTATTAATTCTTAAAGTTTTAGGTCCTGTTTGACATCCATTCTCGTTCTCATTTGTTTCCCCCTTTCTTCATTTCAACCATACATTCTTCAAGTAAAATAATATTACACACAAATCTAAAAATTTTCATTACTTTTCAACTACACATTCTTCCATCAATCACTATTCTAGAGTTTATTTTTTTCCCAAAATGAGTGTCAAACACAAGCTTAGCTCATGTTTGAGCCACATTATTTTTTTTCATTTTCACTTTTCTACTCATTTTCAACCACACATTCTTTAATAAAATAATATTTTCCATCATATCAATGACTTTTCCTTCTTTTTCAACCATATATAATCCTCATCACATTAAAAAAAAAAATGCATTCTTTGAGCAAAAATGTGCACCAAACAGGGTCTTAATTTCCAAAAACAGGTTACAATTTTTTTAAAAATAAAAAATCAGGTATATTCAAATATACTCCACTCCACCCACACCACTTTCTTTACCCACGTAGGAACCGTTCGTTTTATTCATCACCGTAGCCGTGTCTATGTGCATCATGGTCAGAACACGCTGCCCATTCGTGGTGACAGTGACAATGGAAGGTGGGAGCCTAAGCTTCGTCAAAGATCAAGTGGTGGTGGCGAACACACGATAAATAGAAACTACTTTAGACTCTACTTAGATAATTTTGTGAAAGTGTTATAACTGATTAGAAAAATTTCTAGAGAAATTTGATCTAAAAGTCTTTTATAAAAAATAGAAGTGAAAATAAAAATTTTATGAAACGGAACCATAATATTTGCTATGTGTACATATAAAATATACATAATGAATTATATAATATGACGTGGAGAAAAAAATTGGATAGAAAATTTGATTGTATTTTAAACTAACAAATAATAGTGTATTACGTGTTATTATGTAATTCATTATATAAATTTTAATGTACATGTAACAAGTTCCATAATATATAGATCGGTTTGGGGTATATTTTGGGATTTAACTGGGAGTAGAGAAAATCATTTCGTGATGTTAGTTTATGTGGACCACGTGTGAAATAAACCTTCATGGGAAAGAAAAAAGTCCCAAATTGCAATGAAACTTTGGCATTACTGCACGTGAATTTACGTTAGAGGATACTCCTCAAAGCCGTACCCGTACGGACTTGAGCTTTGCAATAATATTGATGCTGATTAAGTTTAGTTTCATTTGAAAGAGAATGACACTTTTATGAAATCTTTGGATATGTTTAGGTCATTTTGTACGACCTTTAAAGTAACATGTGTTATAATTTGAATTGTGAATACCTTATAAATTAATATAGAAAATAATTGTAATATATTTATTCGTAACAGATAATAATATTCAATCCATCGCTATAATTTTTCAAGCCC